GACTTTCCATCCCGCTAAAGCCCCCCTTAGTGCCCCCCAGCCAGTGCCTCTAAGGACGACCACCATTACAGGGCCGCTGGCCAGAGCCCGCCCCTCCGAGGCCTGCAGAACCCTCTGCAAAGTTTCCATAGCTACAGTCCCAGGAAACAACCATGCCCTCCGCCCCTAATCAGCACCTGCTACCCGCCAGGGTACCCGTGGTTTTAAAAATAACAATCCCACCCTAACCAGTTTGGCTCAGTGGATAGAGCATTGGCCTGCAGACCGAAGGGTCCCTGGTTTGATTCCAATCAAGGGCATGCACCTTGGTTGCGGGCACATCCCCAGCAGGAGGTGTGCAGGAGGCAACTGATCAATGTTTCTCCCTCTTCGATGTTTCTCTCTCTCTCTCTCTCCCTTCCTCTCTGTAAAAAAAAAAAAAAAAAAAAATCATCACCGACCCATTGGTTGTCCAGTTTGGTTGACCACCACACAGACACTGCCCTGCCGGTCTGGGAAAACATATCCCCACTGTCTCCATACTGTGACAGGCACAAATTTGGGTAAAATGTTTACCAGATTCATAATAACTTTCCATGTGTTCATGTCCCACAGCTGCTCTACCATCCTAAGCAGCCATGCTACTACCATTTTGCTGCTTCACTGGATTCCAAGTTCAAGGGTAGCTCCAAAAGAGAAAAGTCTTCTGTAGCAACAAGGAGGAGGCTGGTTTATTTTTTCTTAAGTGCCCTTCCTTCTGGTCCTATTTACATGCATCATTAGCCCAGCAGTGGAAGCACTCTGTTATAAGTGACTTTAGAAATCATAATCATTACAATTAAAAACTTCCATTTAAACCACACTACCCCTTTGTTATGCTAAAGTTGCCCTCTCCACTTACAGCTCTCTCGCTCTCTCTGAGGCCTATTTGGACTTTTAACCTATCTGCAGGCTTTTTATTTTGGAACCTTTTGTGATCTCGAAGTTGTAATTTTCACAAGTGGAGCCCTAAAGCTCTAAGATTTTTATCAGAATTATCATTTCATTTCTGCATGTGTTTCGTAGGTGAGTTTTCCGTAGCATTACAAAGCAATGCTGTAACACTTTACAGCATTAAAAGATAAAAGTTGAAAGCCCCCAAACCACCACAAAAAAATTAACTGCACAGTATAAATGTTTAAATCAGTATCAGAAAGCTCAAATGTAGGCAACAATGAAGTCAGCAAGCACACTGAACTGGGAAAATCAAGAAGCATAATGGTTGATGCCAGTGCTTGAGCATCGGTCTATGAACTGGGAGGTCAAACTTTGATTCCCAGTCAAGGTTGGGCACATGCCCGGGTTTTGGGCTCAATCTTCAGGGGGGAAGGGGAGCGTGCAGGAGGCAGCCAATCAATGATTCTCTCTCATTGTTGATATTTCTCTCTCTCTCTTCCTCTCCCTTTCTCTCTGAAATCAATTAAAATATATTAAAGAAGCATAGTGGTTGAGAATGTTGTATAACAGGGCCAGGTCTAGGGGAGGTAAGGGAGGTGCAGAGCTGGATTCTGTCTATATTTTTAAACTCGATATTTTGTTCATCTTGAAATTTTTAAATTAATTTTGATATAAAAATTGCATTAAAATATAACAGCTGCTTCCTCAAAAAGTTAAACAGAATTACCATATATCCCAGCAATTCCACTCCTCGGTATATACACAGAAGAATTAGAAACAGGTACTCAAATATTTGCACATAAATGTTCATAAGATCACTATTCATCACAGCTGAAAGGTGGAAACAACTCAAATGCCCATCAACAGATGAAGACATAAACAAGTTGTGGTAGATACAATGGAATTTTATTCAGCTATAAAAAGGAATAAAGCATTGATACACAGGATGAACCTTAAAAAACATGACACTACAATATTACGCTAAGCAAAATAAGCCAGAAAGAGAAAAAGACAAGTATCACATGATCTCACATACGTGAAATCTAATGAAAATTAACTGATGAACAAAATAGATCCAGACACAGAAGCATGGAACAGACTGTGAAATCTCAGAAGGAAGAGGAAGAGGGGAAGAGATCAACCAAAGAGCATGTTTGCATATATGCATACCATAACCCATGGACTCAGACAATAGGGTGGAGAAAGCCTGGGAGGGGCAGGTGAGAGGGGAGGGGGTCAATGGGAAAAAACAAACAAGGGGAACATCTGTAATATCTTCAACAAAAAAGATAAATTTTTTTAAACGATGCTAAATGAAAGAAGCTAGATACAAAAAGCTATATATTGTATCATGTCATCTACATGGAATATCCAGAATTGGAAAATCATAGAAATAGAAAGATTAGCGTTGCTAGGGGCTGGGAGGAGGTAGGAATGGGGATTATTCTGGAGTGTTGGAAATGTTTCAGAAGTAGATAAAGGTGGTGGCCGCATAACATTGTGAATGTACCAAATTCTACTGCAATGTTCGCTTTAAAATGGTTAATTCTATGTTATGTGAATTTCATTTCAATTAAAAAATATACAGGGTGTCCCCCAAAATGTATATACACTTTGAATAAAGCGTTTATTAAAATATGCTTCATTTTAATAAACGTTTCATTTCTGCCCTTGCTGGTTTTGCTCAGTGGTTGGAGCATCAGCCCTGTGGACTGAAGTGGTCTGAAGGTTCCCGGGTTCGATTCCAGTCAAGGGCATGTACCTCTGTTGCAGGCTCAATCCCCGGCCCTACTCAGCTAGTGTGGGAGGCAACCAATCAATGTATCTCTCTCACATTGATGTTTCTCTCTGTGTGTCTCTCCCCTTCCCTTCCACTCTCGCTAAAATAAACTCAGGTGAGGATTAACAAACAATACACACACAAACATTTCATTTTCAAAATGTAATAGAATCTTCAGCTATCAGCTGTTAAAGTGCGTATACATTTTCGGGGGACACGGTGTATATGAACTGACACGGTGTATATTCCTGAGATTTTTTATGACCCTTTCAATTCTGTGTCTGAGCACAGGCCTTACTTGCCACCCCCATCCTTGGACCTATTTAAATTCCCTTTTAACTAGAAATAAAGTGGGCAAGACATTGAAATAAGCTTGGGCCGCACTGAGATTGGTGGTGGAGTTCCAAGTCAAAGAATGGCTCATTTTTCACTCAAAATTCGTTTTATTGCATGTGCCCTGCCACCCTTCCCATACAGCCCAGTGAAGGCTCAGGTCCTGTATCGTTGCCCAGCACCTGTCATCACGGTATACCAGACAAGATAAAGACACACTTTCTCCCCTAGTCAGGTTGGTGGGAAATGTTTAATCGGCTAGGGAAATCTGGGAGACCCAAGGGCCGCCTCTGGAGGGAAAAGGAAAGTGCCCCTTTGGTTCTGGTGCGTGAAAGTACATATCATTTGATTCCCTTTGAGGTTTTCGTCCCACGTTGCGTGATTCTTTAAGAATGTGGTGATTTCTTCAGGTAGTTGCTTTATCTTGGCTTCAATTACTTCAGAGCCTTAAAAAAATAAAAATAAAAGGAATATGTGTATTAGCAACATCAGAACCTGACTAATACAAGTCTTTAAAATACTCCCAGCTCATTTTTGCATCATTTGGTTTGCTCCTAAAGCTCTCCATTGAGGCAAACCTAAATAAATATGAATGTGCTTTCCATGGAGAACATGAATATTCAGTCCCTAAGTGAAATACCAAGAGAGCTGACACTGGAGCAATGAACTCTACAAATATCCCCAAGCTGCTGTCCCTGCTAAAGAGACCAGGTCAACCCAGGCCTCCGAGCTGGGATATGATCAAGCTAGCCAGGCTGCTGTCACTCTAATAAAGCCTAATAGAGCAGCGCGGAAAATAGGCTGCCCTCAGCAGCCATGCCCGTCTCTGCCATCGCCCTGCAGAGAGATAAAATACTATGTTATTTTACACACACCCGAGGAAACCTGCTGTGCACAGCGACCTAGACCAGGGGCCAGCAAACTGTTTTCACAAACGGGTTTACTGGGCCGCAGCCCTGCCCATTCAGCTGAGTGTGGTCCCTGGCTGCTTTTCCTCTACAGTGGCAAAGTGGAGTAGCTGTGACAGAGGCCGCATGGCCTGCAAAGCCTAACGTATTTACTATCTGGCCCTTTACAGAAGGTTGCTGATCCCTGACCTAAACTATTAGAACTCTACCCACTTCGGCCTCCAGGTGTATTGTATATATATGCATCAAATAAATAGATAGATAGATAGATAGATAGATAGATAGATAGATAGATAGATAGATAGATAGATAGAAAAATCTATCTATCTATCTATCTATCTATCTATCTATCTATCTATCTACCTACCTATCTATCTATCTATCTATCTATCTATCTATCTATCTATCTACTAGAGGCCCAGTGCATGAAATTCATGCAGGGGGTGGGGGGAGACATCTCTCAGCGCAGCCTGTACCCTCTTGAAAACTGGGACCCTTCGGGGATGTCCAACTGCTGGTTTAGGCCCGATCCCGCAGAAATCCCTGTGGATTGGGCCTAAACTGGCAGTTAGACATCCCTCTCGCAATCTAGGACCGCTAGCCCCTAACCATTTGCCTGCCTGCCTGATCTCCCCTAACCACCTATGCCTGCCTGATCTCCCCTAACCATCTCTGCCTGCCTGATTGTCCCTAATCACTCTGCCTGCCTCCCTGATGGCCCCTAACTACTCACCTGCCTGCCTGATCGCCCCTAACTGCCTGCTGTGGGGTGACCAGCCGGAGTGAGGGGCCGTGATCATTCTGGTCTCTGCTCATTCTGGTCGTTCCACCATTTCGATCACTGGGCTTTTTATGATATAGGATTCCTGGCCTCAAATGCATTCCATTCTCCCCATGCTAACTGCTAGCTTTCTCAGGTACATTCCAGTTTACCAAAGGTGTAGACAAATCCTATAGTGCTTGCTCCCTTCTACACCAACACAGCAGCTTGTCTGTAAAACAAACAAGAACTCAGAGATTCCTTCTTACCCTCTCAGGTAGCGCCTGTCATTCCGAGTCATGTATTAGCTTATTTCCAACTCAGCTATCCTTGGCTCTGAAAAGCTGTCATCACTGGCATCGCTGTATCTATCACTAGATCAAAAGAGGAATTAATTTAGCAAGGTATTAAAAAAAAAAACAGACAATGATCCAAAACACTTTCCATAATTAACTCCCACTCAGAGACAATCCTAAGAAATATTCTATTATCACTTCCTCCTCACATACCACAGTCTCCTTTTGTCAGCGGAACTGATCACTTGCTTTCATCTTAAATTGGAAGTAACTTATTCAGAAAATTTATAAAAGCATTTTAACTTAGATTAAATTTATAATCTTATAAAGACCACTAATCATTCCTAAACTTCAACAAAAGCTTTAAAAGCACATTGCTCCTGACCCTCTTACCTACGGTCTGCTTTCTACTAGAGGTATTATGTAAACAAATTAAGTTAAAATGAAAGCCTGAGCTGATAGACCGATCTATTTCCTATGAATCTACTATTGCCTGAATCGCAGTCCATTTGAGATTAAGCATCATTCAGTCCTATTCCTGCTGATCTCAATTTGTTCTCAAGTGCAATAAATAGCATAGCATCAAATAGTACTTGAACGCTCAGATTTTTTTTCATTTTCCATCCTTCTGATGACAACTGTTTCCTTTTTTATTGTTTTTTTATACATTTTTTATTAAATTAATATCTGTGTACATATTTTAACATTGCCCCCCCTCGATAACTGTTTCCTTTATCAATATGAAAGGACTACAGAACAGCTGTACATCCCTTGATTACATTAGCCAAACACTCTCCATTTCACTCAGTGGCGGGTTGGGCTTTATCTCTGAGCCTGAGGACCACAAGAGCTCCCTAGATAGCTTCAATGTGGAGGAGCCGGTCATCCAATCAGCAAACTCCATGGGGATATTGAACTTGGTGGTCAATAGAACTAAAACATGCATGTTAACTCAAGACCCATGTCCAGCCAGCAAGGCTTAGTGGTTGAGCATCGACCTATGAACCAAGAGGTTAAGGTTCGATTCCCAGTGAGGGCACAAGCCCGGATTGTGAGATCAATACCCAGTGTGGGGAGGGAAGGAGGGAGGCAAAAAAAAAAATCAATAAAATATGTAAAATAAATTAATTAATTAATTAATATAATAATAAATAAATAAAATAAAAATAAAAAATAAAAATACCCAGTGTGGGGCATGCAGGAGACAGCCGATCAATGATTCTCTCTCACTGTTGATGTTTCTATCTCTCTCTCCCTCTCCCTTCACCTTTGAAATCAATATATATATATATATATATATATTTTTTTTTTTTTTTTTTTTTAAATACCCAGGAAAAACCCAGTAGTGCACATAAAAAACATTCGTGCTTGGTAAACTCACCTTGAAATCCTACCTACTTCAGAACCATTTTTGCTATGATTTAGGGGTCAGCAGCATGAAAGTTTCCCAACCCAACAAACATTCTCATAGGTTCAAGGATTTTAGAAGTAATTTTCACAAATATGCTATTTTCAAAATAGAAACTTCATGAGATGCTCCAACTACCTCGAGTCACATGGAATATTAAAAACAGGACCAATTATTGACATAGATATTGCCATGTTTGGGTTCCTGAGAAATACAACTTCTCCATGAGATAGCCCTGCAAGTGTACTTTTGCTTCCGAGCTGGGCTCATTTTAGGGTTCCTCTTGCTCGATTCCAAATAAGTCAGCAGGTTGATCAATTCCACAAGAGTTCTACTGATCTATGGAGATGGCATTGCCAGGAATTAAGTGTTTCATGAATTCCATAATAGGTGAAAATCTACTCCTTTTTCTTTTTGTTAAGGGAAGAGAAGAAACAATTAGAGAAATCCTATGCTCATAGGTTAGAAAACAAAGATTTCCTCTAAATATATTGAGCACATATCAATAAATACATAAACAAAATCATAAAAGCCAACCTTACTCGCCTCCCTGACTTTTGGATAAAATCACAAAGGGTAAGCATGAGGGGTGGCCTAGAGTATGGAGAGGATACTTATACATTCTTAGAAGATTAAAAATTGCCAGAAAATAAGTGAAATAAGTCAGTCAGAGAAAGACAAGTATCACATGATCTCACTCATATGTGGAATCTAATGAACAAAATAAACTGATGAATGGAGTGGATCCAGAGACATGGAAGCATGGAAGAGAGAGGAGGCGGGGAGGTGATCAACTAAAGACATTATATGCATAACCCATGGACATAGACAATAGGTGGTAAAGGCCTGGGGGGGGGGGGGCTAGCTGCAGGGGGTCAATGGGGGGGGCATATGTAATACTTTCAACAATAAAGATTTATTTTAAAAAAAAGAATTGGCAGTAAAAACAAAGTATGTTAGATAAACATATAAATCAACATATCCTTAAAAGCATTCAAGTAGAACAGTGGTCAGCAAACTCATTAGTCAACAGAGCCAAATATCAATAATACAACAATTGAAATTTCTTTGGAGAGCCAAATTTCTTAAACTTAAACTTCTAATGACATTTCTTCAAAATAGACTCGCCTGGACTGTGGTATTTTGTGGAAGAGCCACATTCAAAGGGCCGCATGTGGCTCGCGAGCCGCGGTTTGCTGACCACTGATGTGCAAAACACATCTTATTAGGTTTTAGTTCAGGAAAATCAATTCGCTATTGCAAAAGAGTTTTCAATAAAGAAAACACAGGAATAACTGAGGAATGTTTTTTTTTTTTTTTAAATGGCCTCAAAAGTTGACATGTCCTTTCCCATGTACTCCCACTGCTACACAAATGTCGAATCTCTCCTGATTCTATGCAACATCACCTGTCATAGAATTGGCAAAGAAAGGGGATTTGGAAGTTGTACTCAATCCCCTATCTGAGAAGAAATGAGGGTGTTCAAGTGATTCACTGAGCACAGAGCTCATTTGAGGTGGGGCCAGAATCCCCATCATGCTAACCCAGCCCACAAGCTCAAGTTCACTAGTAAGCTGTGTTACAGTGGGCCAGCATGGCCTCTCAGGGCATGTTGCCCAATACCACAGGTGAGAAGGCCCAAACCAATCTCCTCAGTTATCAGATTTTTAAATATATATATATTTTATTGCCTTTTTACAGAGAGGAAGGGAGAGGGATAAAGAGTTAGAAACATCAGTCAGCTGCCTCCTGCACACCACCCACTGGGGATGTGCCCGAAACCAAGGAACACGCCCCTGACCGGAATCGGACCTGGGGCCTTTCAGTCCGCAAGCCGACACTCTATCCACTGAGCCAAACTAGTCAGGACAGTTATCAATTTTATACCTGCTTCGTTCTCTAATCTCAGGCTGGGGAAGAGTAGGATGGGCCCACATCTTCCCTGTCATTCCTTGGTTGTACTGTTTATTGGCCATCATGTATGCACTGGTCACCTAACTCCTGAGAGTCTAGAAATAGTGGAATTAATACCTAAAACCTCATCAAAATGTTATGAGGGCCAAAGGGTATTTATAAGTATGCTCTTGAAAACTATACAAAAATATAAGCTGTCACTATTCATGGGGGCTACATATCCTATATAATAAAACCCTATTATGCAAATTGACCAAACGGCAGAATGACTGGTTGCTATGACACGCATTGACCACTAGGGGGGCAGACACTCAATGTAAGAGTTTCCCCCTGGTAGTCAGTGCACTCCCACAGGGGAAGCGCTGCTCATCCGGAAGCCAGGCTCATGGCTGGCGAGCGCAGGAGTGGTGACTGGAGCCTCTCCTGTCTCCAAGGCAATCGGACATCCCCAGAGGGCGCAGGCAGGGCTGAGGGACCCCCTAAGCCAAGTGCACAAACTTCGTGCACGGGTCCTCTAGTTTGTAATATGGTATCTCTCAAAAAGTCATAGAAGTATAAAGACGTCATGAAAACTGCGAAGTACGTGATGTTCAGCATTGTTTCCTGTACCAACAGAATTCCCTACCCACGTTAGCAAGTGAACTTGGGTGGGTGTGTGTCTCACTTAATGGCTCTTATTTCCTGTCTAATGGCTGTCTGCACCACACTGCCCACACCCCAAAATAGCACAGGCTGAGTCTAGCAAAGTGTAGCTCAGTTTGGGTTTACTCATCTCCAAGGTAAATGACAGGGTTCACTAACTTTCTTTCCTATGTGTCAGGGGCCATGGTAAAACAATCAAGTAAACCACTACACTCAAGAACAGAATTATCAAAAGAGGCATCTGATAAACTTGCTGGTTTTATGGCATTCACGTGTCAGCAAAAAAAAATCAACTGCTAGAAGTCAAATGGGGTTCATCATCCACAAGCAGAATAGCGGGGCTCCTGCTATTCTATTCAATCAAATGTGGGTGCTACTCTGAGATGCGTGTGACTTAGGGTTCACTTGTGTTTCATAAAGAACAGAATTAAAGAAGTCCAGCTGAAACTGGTTTTGGCTCAGTGGATAGAGAGTCGGCCTTCAGACTGAAAGGTCCCGGGTTCAATTCCGGTCAGGAGCATGTACTTTGGTTGCGGGCACATCCCCAGTAGGGGGTGTGCAAGAGGCAGCTGATCAATGATTCTCTCTCATCGATGTTTCTAACTCTCTATCCTTCTTCCTTCCTCTCTGTAAAAAAATCAATAAAATATATTTTAAAAAAAGAAGAAGTCCTAAGATATACTTACCTGGGTATATTTTCACTTAATTCAAAACATCTCAGCTCTTTCTGAAGCCTAACCTGTCTTTAAAAATAATATCTGTGTACACACACACACACACACACACACACACACACACACACACACACACTTCTCAGTAGGCAGTGTTATTAGATATTAGGGTCTTTCATGTTAAATTTTATGAAATGCCACAGAATACAAACCCATTTGTGCATGTCTGATGACTTTTAAGGAGGGGAAAGTTTTAAACCTACAATGTCCAGTGTGGTAGCCACAAGCCACAATAGCTATCTAAATTTACATCAAATAACAGTTAAAGTTCCCCTTCTCACTCGAACCCATTGAGCCATGTTTAAGAGCTCAGTGGCCACATGTGCCTGGTGACTGTCATACTTGGATGGTGCAGATTACAGAACACTTCTATCATGGCAGAC